TCCTCGAAGTTCATCATAGTGAAAATGACCTGAAACAGATCGATTTCTGGAATGAATCTCAACAACGGAGTGAAAAGCTGCCCATGGAGCCACAGGAGTCATGGAGTGGGGCGAGAGATGAGTGGCAAGAGTTAATAAGGAACACGAAACAGTGCTGCTCAAATACATGTGTTCACGAGTCTTACAGAAAAAGAAACAAGGTCTTGGACGATTTCCCCCAAATGTTCTACCAGGGCAATGTTTAAGCTTCAAGTTGCTCCAAAGAAAACAAAAAGAAAGTGGTAATGCACACAGCACACGAGTTCAGTCAAAAGATTGTCGTGCCAGTAGTTTTCAGAACATAAGAGCATCAGAAAACGCTCAATGCGAGAATAACCAGTTATCATCAAGAGAGATTGACACACTGTTTCTTGTCGTTTGGTTCCGCTTCTAATCAATTAGCCTTCTCTCGATGAAAAAGAGCGAAAAACGACTCTTGTCGGCCTAGGTAGGCTGGTGTCAGAGTCCGCGATCCGTCGCAGGTTTCGCTGATTTGCGCGATTTTCGCGATCGCGATTCACGCGACGGGTCACGGAAATCACAAGTGCCCGATCAATACTGCAAGGTGTTCTCCAATCCCGCCGCCACTTCTGCTTGATAGTGATGGCTGAATGACGACTGCTCATGATTCCACTTGTTTCATATTCAGTGTTTCAAATGTTCAAATGGGGCACTTGCAATTTTTGCGATCCGCGCGAAGCCTGCGACGGATCACAGGAATTGAAAGTGCCCCGATCACCCCCCCCCCTACTTTTTCACGTTATAGGGCGCCGCCGTGGCGAGCACGCCCGGGCCGGCGCCCGCGAACGTGCGGGAAATATGAAAATACATTGAGCATGAAACAAGTAGCATCACGAACAGTCGTTTTTCAATCTTCACTCTCAAGCAGCGGGTGTGGTTCACTAGGACTGAAAGTGACATTTTCGCGTTTTACTGTGCTAAAATTTTTCGCTGCAGAAGCCCAGAAGCGAAACCGAGTGGACCTGGGCACACCGTCTATTTTTCCAAGAAGAGACTCATTCCATTCGGTGAGAAGGCGTCATGGACCGCAGCAGATTCTACAGCATGTTCTTGTCGTTTGATACATTTGAAAATGCATCTTTCAGGAGAAAAACCCTACCTTCACAAACGAATTCGAATTTTGATTGAGAAGGACACTGTAGAAATTGTATGAAAATTGAAATTTTCGCCATGGGCTCCGCTAACTCCGGGGCATGCATGCGGACGCTTCTCTCGCTCCGTAAGATTTGTTTAATTTGCTCCGTAAATCCTGGCCCCATGTGACACATTTTCCAACGATTTAGTGACTACGTGACGGTCTTCATCATTTTTTGCCTTTTTGCCGCGAAATGAACTTAGAGAACTGCGCGCCTTGGCTCGGTGTCGATCCAAAAGGTGAACCCAAAGACTGACGTTCCAAAGACCCGGGAGGAGAGCAATAACAAGTGTGGGAAAAGTTCGCCTGTGTGAGATCACATCAACCATGAGCCCAGTCTAGCCAAGAGAGCGCAAATCAGAGCACCTAACTGAGACGGATAAATGGACCGTGTTCAAGATGTCCGTAGATCGTCCCAATCTTGACCTGGTCTTGCCGGTTAACTTCAAGTAGTGACGAATTTCGTGTAGACGACTGTATACCAATCTATATGGTCTTTTAGAGGAACGTGTTGACAGACTTCCAGCCTGACACTAACAGGATTTATACGCTTTTCGACAGAGAGAATTGAGCAAAGTATCTTCACTGAGCAGCAATGGAATTCAGAAGGTTGCGATGCTAGGCTTAACATTGTTGTATAGAATGAAAACATAACTATGAATATTAATAAGGGAGTGAGAAACTGGACAAGCAGTGCATCGGATTGAGCGTATTTGTTGCTTCAATTCCAGGTCTAGTAAGCAACTGCGTCTCTGCAGATCTGCTAGTTGGTGACAGTTTAATCTGGGAGCTCTGAAATACTACATATGATGCTTCTAAGCCGTTTTGGAGATAAAATTTGCGACTAAATTGATCTTCATGAAAAAGAAGGTTAAATTGAGAGGGAGGAGGAGGGCCCAAGAAACAAAGTGTGTTGCACGTCGCGGAAGATAGGCCTAACGAACCAAGCACTATTAGGGGCGCACAAATAGATTCAACGTGAGTCCAGAATACTTTAGCCTCGTGACGTGATTTTTTCTCTTCATCAGAAATGCCTTTCCATATTAAGCGATTCACCCCCAAAATTTGATATTGGTCAGTTTCTCGAGTATGGAAGGTTTTCGGGCGCGATGCGATTACACATTAACTATATATATTGATATATAGACGATATATTGAGATGCGTATATGAGTTATCGTATATATGAGTAACTACTTAACGTATGATAAGAAGACAAGTTGGTTGTGGGAAGAGTGCAATACTTCGTGTTGTTGACCGTTTGCTTGATTTTTTTCAAATGCGACCATTGGCAACTGCATTCAGATTTCAATGGTACCAGCTTACCCAGAAGTTTAGCTTTGATCTGGCGAGAAATAGACTACAGTGCTTTCCTACCCTGCGGTCGCGGAGCAGACTACAATATGTTTTTGTGCCTGTTATTTGGAGCAGAGTTCTCAAGCTCTATATTAGTGAAGTTATTTCCACCATATGACGAGGATTGTTCAACTGATCGGATGCAAACTAACTCTAATGATCGCAAGAAGGGGTTGATTGAGTGAAATCTACAGAGATTTGGTCGGTAACATAGAGTCAGTCATGCAAACTATTACTGGGAACTCATAAATAATATCGTGATTTAGTTGTGAAATATTTTCACATAGTAAACAAAACTCGTGATATACGACGGGAAATACCTTTCAAAGAGTGTACTACCATTATTCAACCAATTTCTCATGAAACGCGATTTACAATACAAAATGCTCGATTAAAGACTGAAAAAGAGTAGTATAAATAACCAATGGATGTGATTGCACAGAAGAGTTTATATTATTTTTCACCAATCCTAATCGAAAGACCACCGCAACCATACAAGAAGACGGCACGTATAACATTTATAAATTATTTTTATCTCACACTATCTTCATAAATTAAACACTCGCTGCAAAGCCCAAAATGAATACTCCCTATTCAACAAATAGCGAGTCCAATCAAGGTGACTGACGTATGCCACAATACGACCGAGCACAGCAGTGAAACGCTGATTTTATGCTTACCTATCGCCTTACACTGTATTTGCTTGATATTCCATATGAGTCGTCCTTTTACTTCGTGCAGGTTAATTATACACAAAAAACCAATATTCAAATTGGAATTTTTGGTAGCTATGCCTAACAAAAGGAAAAATAAATTAATATATGAGGAAGATTAAGGCTCAACTTCAGGATTCGCATTAAACCAGTGTAAGAGCTGTGTCAACGGTTGTGCAAACAATAATCTGCAGAACTATGTGGTGCGTGCTCAATCATAGTGCAGTTCGCCTAATTCGATCAAACTGTTGCAGTCATTCACAAAGGGAGCACTACCAATCACATTGATGAGATTAATGGGCGTACAAAGGGGTCAACAAAGAACAAAACTCGGAAAACCCATATCGTGAAGTAAGACACGCCCAAAGAGGGTGTGTACCTTCTACAGCACTACAACACGTAGTAATGGTGGAAAATCGAATATGGGACGGTCAAAGAGAAACAAGCAAACGACGTAAATAAGCGAATGTGTTCAAAAATAAATATTAACGTCTATATTGCTAGCCAACGACAATCCTTGCCAGTGTCCTCCTTTCCGGCCATTCGAGGCTTTCCAACCGTGAATGGGATATATTTGTACTTGATCATATGCTGTAAATAACAAATAGATCGTTACAGAACTTGAAATGGTAGGCAAAAAACGGAAAACACTGAACTGTTGTGAAAATTTTAAATTGTCAAGGCCGCTAAGGAGTTATTCAATGGCTGCCACCTTTATGGGGTAGTGAATAAGCGCTTTCCAAAAAAAAACAAATTGCTACAAAATTACGAAAGCAAACCACGTTAAATGGCAAAAATGCTAATGCTAATTGGCAGAATTTTGTGAAAAGGCTCACCATTATTTGCCTCTTCATCGTGAGGAAGAAAAGAATTATGAAGTACATGACAAGAATCGGCCAGAATACGGGTACGTTGAAGAATTCGAAGAACGTACATATGATCGCGATTAGGGTGGCTTTCATAGCGGAATGCCTGAATGGAATTTACGAGCCTTTTATCATCAAGTAGAACAACGGTTTTAGCAAGTTATAAATCCTCAAACAAGTACTGCAACGCATACCAGCATTTAAATTCAGGTAAGTGACGCATAAAAGGGCGGAACTCGTCATTTGTTCTTGATGGTAGAACAGGCCCGTCGTCATCATCCTCGAGAGCAGGATCAATAGAAGGTGTCAGGAAAAGAAGAAGACAAATTTTCAAGAATAGTAGTCGACAGCATATGCCACAATGTAGAAGCCCTGAAATGCAAGCCTCAAAAAAGAAAACGCAGAAATTGTGTTCAGAAAAAGCAGAGACAAGTTGCAGTATGCACAAGAAAAACGAAAGAAGAATGTATCTTGAAACTCTTACGCTCACCCTCACTCATGAGGGCAGTGTCAGATCGCAAATTCAGCGATTCGCTAGTAGCGAATCGCTGGATTCGCTAGCGAATTTACGGACTCGCTACAGCGAATCTTTCGCGGCGCTGGTTTTTAATGAAGATTAATGTAGAAGTGAAAGATTTTTCGCGAATACTTACTCTAGTAAGAAACAATAACGAGTAATTGTTTTTTTTTTTTGCTTCGGTGTCTAATTTACATAGGATTTGGTGTCCGCATGAGGATTTCAAGAAACAAAGTACCACAAGCAAAAATATGAGGTCACTCCAGACTTGTGGCCTCGATTTTATAGATCATGTTTGCTGCAGTTTGTTTTGAAAGTTAAAATTTCACCAAATTACGAAACTGTTCTCTGCAGATACTAGTCCTCATCACCATCGTAAAAAGATTCCATCATGATAACTTAACCATTGTGACTGACTTACTGATACTTCTCTTTCCATACATTCCCCTACCATAAAAAATAGGAATCCCACTCAGTAAGCATGTCTAAAGGGGCAAGACTTTTGCTTCGTATTGGAGGTCACATACTTGATGGTTTCCAGGATTACGCAACCTAATAAAAAAAATAGATTCAAAAAGTTAGCAAAAGTACTGGGTTCAGGAACAAAATGGTCGGATATATGTTGCGCATTCAAACATTGCACAGCTTCTTTTCGAAAAAAAAAATAGTAAGAATACATCATGTGTACTATTTCCTAAGCATTCTGGGGCTCAACTAGCCGAGTGGATTCAAGAGTCCAACCCATCGCAAAAAGAGACTCGTGGAAGTAACAGGAGTATAAGTGGGGCGCAATGTGGCTCGGAGGGGGCCAGTCGCCGCGCGCGGCGTTGCGGCAACAGGAAATTCGTGAGCCAGGGGGAATGTAGCCAATTCAGGGGGTGGGGGTGAGGGCAGTCACTTAGCATGCGTGAGAAGCTGAAATGTTCCGTGAGAAGCTGGAATGTTCGAGTTACACTACATCGCTGAGCCGCGCGCGGCGACTGGCCCCCTCCGAGCCACATTTGCGCCCAAATATGGACCACACGTTGTTCAGCAGCTTACTCACTTTTATACAAAGGAACGCTACTTGGAGGTAGAGAATCCTGGCACAGAAAGTGATAATAGCCACGACCGCCATCAACCATCGAACAGTAGTTTGCGGTGTGAGTTTATCCAAATAATACTGGTATTTCTGCAAGAAGAAAGTCAGAAAAATTCAGAAAGGAAGCAGCAATAAAAAGAGAACAAAAAATGAACTCACAACTTCTAAGGAATGGAAGAACCGGGAAACTACACCGGGTCTCTCTCTTAGGTCGTCATCCATGTTTGAAACGTCACCTTAAAATATGAATAATCGTTTGCGTAATGCGTCTGAAGCCATCAATACCATGAATGACGACGAAATGATGTTTTCTGGATAATGGAAAGTGCACAGGCATAGTTTCATCATTTTTCTTGGAAGAGAAAGAAAAGATAAGGTAAGAATACTAATTCTGAGTGCTACCCATCGGAAAAGCACGCAACCTTGACGCTCGTATTATATGACTCATCCGATAGGGGGTTCAGCGGTTCTCATGAAGGCTGACAAAAACATGCGCTTGATTTCTGCCCAATTTGCGGAACGGTAAATATTGTGATGCACATGAACCGCTTCGACGGAACTCTAGGAATCTGAGCTCCTTAGTCTACTTATAATCGTAGGAATGCTAGTCCGGACGATCTGAGATGATCGATATAATACTTAAGAAGTTGTTTTCGAACTTTATCTAAAAGCTGTAGTAGTGAGAAGATATTAAGTCGCTTCTCAAAAGAAAGAACCGCAGTATTTAAACAACGACAGCGATAAAGAATACAATATTGATCGATTCGGAACAATTGTGCACACCCTCACGATAGGATCAACTCGAAAGTACGACCAGAATCTCTGATCTGCTTTATATCCAGCTGAAATTTTACGCTCCTCATATTTTGTGAAAAAAATGAAGGGGTCCATTGGGGTATAAGCAAAGCAATAACAATTCAATTTTCACTCTGCGGGTCCATAAAAATAAGGTTACATTTTCAAAAACTTTGCCCTTGGGCTCCACTTAAAACAGCCTCTGCAGAAAGCTGTGCTCACACCAGTTTAGGTTTCACAAATGTGATAAAAGACTTAAATACTTTGTGCAAGGTCAACAGAATAGAGGAGATAGCAAGAAGTGGAGAAAAGGAAAAGTAAGGCAACAAAGGCGATCCTGAGCGGAGATCGCCCACCGCCGAGAACTGAACACGGTGGAGTGGCCGAAATCACCGTGAGAATGGAATGATATTGATCGACGTGAGCCGACACGCCAAATCATGCTTAAACACGTCGACGATTTCCTGTTTGGGCGAAGGATTCGGAATCACGTCATCGTCGTACCACGTCGGAAGGCAAACAACTCGTATGCATGGATGGTTCTTGTACACGAACTTCCCGAGGTCATCTAGGCAAAGTGCCAAGTGGCAAGTGTTGTACGTAATGCCCACAATTGCGGACATTTTTCGGAGACGTGTTCTATTGTTGAAGTGGTGTTGTTTTGTTGTTTACTTTCACAAACTTAGCCTGAGAACAAGGTTGTCTAAGCATCTTCTGAAAACTTGGTTTCGTTATGTTTAATTCATCCGAAATGTTTAATTTCAATGGCGTCCCGTTTCGTAGACAGATGCAAAATCATGTTAAAATAATGTTTTATTTTTAATTTGGAGTTTCGCAATTATGCCCACATTGCAAGACTTTGTTTTCGCCAGATCTTGCCTGATGGTGCTAACTTAGTTGGGGGGGGGGGGCACGCGGCGGCGCGGCAGTCTGCTCGCCTGGCATGTTCGGAAATCCGTGGGCCAGGGGGAGTGTAGCCAGCCTAGGGGGGTGGGGGTGGGGGCAGTCACTTGACATGCGTGAAAAGCTGGAATGTTCGAGTTTACACTGTCTCGCTCGAGAGAGCCCAGGTGAGCAGACTGCCGCGCCGCCGCGTGGCCCCCCCCCCCAACTAAGTTAGCACCGCCCAGCTTACGAATGTAACACCTACTTTTTGACGCTGGTTTTTACGCCAGTTTCGCCACTTTTCGACAGAGGTTTTCACCAATTCGGTGCAAACCTGTAAGTAGGGTTGTTTTGTCTTAATTACGAATATAACATTAGTTTTTGAAATAAGCGCTGTCCAACGCTTTCTTCTGTTTTCTGTTCTCTTGAGGTCTGTCATTCATAGTGCCTAAGCCTCAACTTATTGGGAACTGGATTCCGGGGTGGGTAAACCATGCTCTGTAAGGCAAAATTGGATTGTGTGAGATTACAGGGTGAATTGATCGGAACCCGGTGCTAACTTAGTTAGAGGGGGAGGGGACACGCGGTACGTCAATGTCATGGAAATATGGAGGCTCGAGGCATTGTTCATAGTTTTGGAACCATCGGAATATTCGAATCTGCGAAAAGAAAAAGATACGTATCGACCAGGTGAATCCGCGCACGCGCGAACGCGGATGCGAAAAGGTTTAGATGCGTATCGACGTAGTAAACCACGCCCTATTAGCGTTGCTAGAGGATTTTCGCACCGCCGTTTCGATGCTGCGATCTCCGATTGACTGATCGATAGACACTAATTCCTTTCAAGAGGATTCGCAGATTCCAATGCGCGATTCGAAGCCCCTCCCATTTTGTGGATCGATACGCACTTCATTCATTTCGCATTTGCGCAGATTCGTTCGGTTCGAGCGTCCTCCTCTCGTGGCGCAAACTATGAACAATGCCTATAAGACTGATTATACTTGGCGATAACGGGC